CACCCCTATTCCACTTAAAAATTGATTTTGCGATAGAGACTTGCTAAATTGTCCAGTCAGCCCTTGAACTTGCTGTCCTCCGGCCTCAGTCTCCCCAGTACCTAAAATTACAGGTACACACCAGTTTGCCAAACATAGTATTTCCTTCTTGATATTTCTTATGATTTACACGTGAAGACACCCTGGCCTACCATTGTTTGGGAAAAGTTCTTCATAAAAGTTTCAGTTCCTTTAGGGGCTGGAGAGATGGCTCAGTGGTTAAGAGCACTGACTGCTCTTGCAGAGGGCCGGGATTCGATTCCCAGCACCCACATGGCGGCTATGAACTGTCCTTAACTCCAGTTCCAGGGGAATCCGAAGCCCTGGCCTGACCTCTGTGGCATTGCATGACATGGGTGCACTCACATACATGCAGACAATACACTCGTAGACATAAAAATAATAAAAAAATATTTAAAAAGTTTCAGTTCCTTTAAGAGACACAAAGTTGTGCAGACTGTGGTCTGTCTCATGTCCATTTTGATTATCTGTTCAAATCATCAACCATTTTTTATCTTAATGTTTAATACAAAATGTATGCTCTGTAGTTGCTGGGCAAAATGTTCTATAACTATCAATTAGAGGTGCTGGCCGCCGCTGTTGGTCAGGTCTTCAGTGATACTGGCTTTCCGTTCATCCTGAGTGATGGAGACAGGATCCCAGCTCGTCCTAGTCACAATGGCTGTTAGTCTTCCTCTCCTTGTTCCATGAGGCTCTTCCCACAGTTTGAAGGTCTGATATCAGCTCTGTCCACAGGTCAGATTTTAGTGTCTTCTGGATGAGTTTCCCTTTGTCATCGTAGCACGTCCATATTTATGTGTGTAAGATTCCCTGTCCCAAAGCCTATCTTGTCTGATAGTGGCACAGATTATGAGGGATGTGTGACTGATATTCCATTGCATCTCATTTTACGGTATTATATTTAAAATATATGTGCTACCGACAGCGTGTATGTAAGTCTTGTTCCTTGAGCCTAACTTTTCTTTTAGTTCGCACAATCAGTCCACTAAAGCTAATGTCAGCATTGCTGTGGCTAAGCTTAGGTTTACTATCGACCCGCTTTCATTTTTCCAGTATCTTCCCTGATGCAAGAACCCATTTCCAATCCACCCATGGACAGCTCAGATCCCACAGGGATCTTGATTGCCCCCGTACTGGTCATTCCAATCACCTGACATCTTAAAAATGGCAGCTTTCCTCACTCTTTTTCTGTTCGCCTTGCTCTGGTTTTCTGCATGTTATCGGAGCTCAGTTTCTGAAGACACGACTGTGGCTGGACATTGGCACTTTCTTCTCCACGTTCGCTCATTCTCCTCTCGAGCGTCTCTCTCGATGCTCCCCACAGGAATGCTGTTCTTTGAGGTCATGAACAACACCTTCCTTACAAACAGGGCAGGATTCTTGGCCTTACTCTGGCATGGCTTGAGGCATTTTATCCCCTTTCCTGACCTTCCTATTTCGCTCTCGCACCGGACAGTGCCCTGCAATGTTGGCTGTTCCTTCCCTTGTCTCCTCCCCTGGTTCCTCTACCTCTTACCCTGAACGTTGGATGTTGGCTTCTCTTAGACTTGCATCTCCACCTGTCCTCTCCCCACAGTGCTCTCTGTCACTTCTCTGCTTCTGTGGAGGACACTTCAATCCACCACCTCCTTGATAGGCGAACAGTTGCGTTGTGGTCTGAAAGTAAAATGTGTCCCATGGGCTCCTATGTTTGGACACCTGGACCGCAGTTGGTGGTGCTGTTTGAGGAGGCTTTATGGGAGGCTTGTATGGTGGAAGTGTGTCACCACGAAGCTGGCCTTGAGAGTTATAGGTCAGCCTTGTTTCTAATTTTAGTTCTCTGCTTCCTGGAAGGTACCATGGGAGAAATGTGAAGTGACCAGCCACTGCAAGCTCCTACCACCACGAACTGGCTGGCTTCTGCTACCACATCTCGCCCACCATGATGTACTCTATTCAACGAACTGTGAGCCAAAAAGAATACTTCTTCTAAGTTGTTTCTGTTAGGTATCTGGTCATAGAAAGGAGATAAGGAACTAATAGGACGGGCCTGTAACTATGGATTCTCCATCTTCTCAATTACAGTAAACGTATCTATAAACTTGTGTTGCCTCTAAAACCTCTAACAGAGTCAACAGCTTCTCTTGAGTCCAGCTCTTACAATTTCAATTCCAGGGATGCTCACCTTGCCTGCGTTTCTGAAACAGCCCTATAACGTCTGTCCTTGTTTCCCTAGCTTATTCCATTCCTCACACAGCAGCCAGTGTGGTAATTACAAAGATAAATCAGTGTGCACTAGCACCCTGTTTACAATCACCAATGGCCTCTCTGTGCATATGAAAGACTTCCAAACAGCCACAGGTACAAATTACCCAGGGCACTGGGCCTGAAATCAGGCCACATGTCAGAATCAACCCGGAAGTTTCATGAATGAGTTGTAAGGTCCCAGCCCTCCTCTAAAGATAGTTAATTAGAACAGTCTGCAAATTTGAAGTTAGGTTTCCTTTAAATCTCCCAATGCAATTCTAGTGTTCTGCAAAATCTGAGAAGCTCTAGTCAGCGATTTTGGAGGAAAAGTAATAAAACTTTCCCATGGAGATGGGAGATAGTTCTGTTCCCTGAGCTGAGTGTTTACTGGGTCTGGCTCAGGAACAGAAAGCACAGGTGTGTGTCCTTTAATGTCCTGGAGGTTCTGTGCTGCGCGGGTCAGACGAGATCCTGTCCCCGCCAGCTCGTCCCCTCTGACTTCTCCAGGCACAGTGGCCCACCTGTCCCCGCCAGCTCGTCCCCTCTGACTTCTCCAGGCACAGTGGCCCGCCTCTGGGCATGCTTTTGTCCCTGAAGCTCTGTTACACCACTTGTACCACTGTCCTCTTGGTCACAGCTGGCTGTTGGAGAGCAGTCTGTGAAGCTGCTCTTAAGGTTACAATCAGCTGCATAACCTGAAGAGCTAAGTCAGTTCCACTTCATCTGACCTTGGTCTTAGCCAAAAAAGGTCTGCCTGCCTTTTCTCCAGGCACACCTTTAATCCCAGCACTCGGGAGGCAGAGGCAGGCAGATCTCTGTGAGTTCAAGGCCAGCCTGGTCTACATAGTGAGTTCCAGGACAGCTGGGGCTACAGGGAGACCCTGTCTCAAAAAGACAAAAAAAAATAGTAATACAAAAAACCATCAGCATACATTTTAAATCTATTTTTCATTTCCTGACCTGGATCCTTCAGAGTAGATTATGTTGAAGACAGTGGAGGTGCTCAGTGCTGCCTTTAAGAAACAATGGCAGTTCTGTTCAGATAAAGAATTAGGAAGTGGAGACTACGTTTGCTCCCGTTTTTATTTATCTTCAAAAACGGAGGGAGAAGTGTCCTAATTCTCAAAATCAAAAGCATAGTGTAAAACGACGAAAACACCGGGATACCTGTTTGTCTCTGAATGAAGACCTGCTCTCTTGCTTATTCACTACAAGAGCATTTTTTTTTCCAGATGTACGAAGTTGGTTTCTTCCCATGACATCTAGGTATGCATCAATTGCCTTGTTTTAATGGTGATTAGCAAGACATGAGTTCATGGGGCTGGAGAGATGGCTCAGTGGTTAAGAACACTGGAGGACCTGGGTTCGATTTCTAGCACCCACATGGTGGCTAACAACCATTTGTATGAGGCTCTGACACCATCTTCCAACCTTCATGGGCATTACATGACATGGGTACATTTAAATACCTGCAGGCAATACACTTATACACATAAGATAAAATAATAAATAAAATATTAAAAAAGAAACGCATTCATCTTCAGTAAGAAAAGAAGAGGAGGAGCTGAGGGGCAATGCTAAGGACTGTGGGAGGAGTGGGACCCTCAGTGCCGGGAAGTTTGCTATCCACGGTCCCAAAGATAACAGGAAATCATCCCCTCAAGAGCAGAGACATCCCAATATTTGGGGATTTTAACTGCAAATGATCAGCATTCACGTAACTTTACCCTCCTGCAGGATCTTCCCAATACACACAGATGTTACACCCTTAGAGAATCAGTAAATCACAGAATATCCATGCTTGCAACGTCAAGGCCAAATGACTGCTCACGTCACACGTGCACTCTGACCTTCATGAAGCTTGCTGTCTGCAGCAAGGATCTGAATGAGATCAACCCATTGTAAAGGGATCCAGATCACTGCCTATGCTTACTGTCCATGAGATTACTCTGTTTTAATAGTTGTCCATAAATACCATTGTATTATGTTTAACGTCTCTGTGAAAACTTCCCCAAATAATGATGTATTTAAGCCTAAAGAAAGTGAGGAACAAGGAAAACTGCATTTGTAAAATCAGTTACTTTGTAACTCTTCAGACAGTTTGTGAGCCACAGCACTGGTAAAAGTTTAAGATTAAAAAACATTTTTTTAATTGTATGTGAGTCTGAGTGTGTCTGAGTATGGGTATGTACACGAGTCCCGTGTCTGCAGAGGCCAGACATATCTCATCCCCTGGAGCTAGAATTTCAAGTGGCTGTGAGTGGCTTGATGGTATGGGTTCTGGGAGCTGAACTCAAATTCCCTGCAAGAGACCAGTAAGGGCCCTTAACTGCTGAGCCATCTCTCCATCCCCACAGATGTTATTTTTTTAAAAACCGTTTATCTAAATCGTAAGAAATATGATTAAAAAGCTCTATACACAATAAATACAGTAAGGCAGAGGCTAACACGGTTTGGTCTTAAACACTCACTGTGTTAGGGGGAAGCCATGTTTCATGCATCATCTCATAGGCTTTGTGTTTTGTGGATGTTTTATTGGAAGTGCCAGATGTTAGGCAAAACTTTGTCTTTGAATTCAGTGGACTCATGCTTCCTTTCTATAGCTGTTATTTTTTTATGGGGAAAGGAGAGATTTTCTATTTACGGTTCTTTCCCCAGCATGTCAAGCCACACTGTCTTTGAATTCCTGCTCCCAGACAGCCCTTCTCCGTTACCTCTGACAATCAGCTGGCTTTGGTGTTCCACCGCTGCTGCCTCATTCCGGGCTATGCACGTATAATTCCCATTGTGCATCAGGGAGAGGTTGGAAATCCTCAGGGAGCTGGTGAAGTCAATGTTGTCGATGGTCACCCCAAGGCTCGCGGGGATCGGTCGGCCATCCTTCTGCCAGGTGATGGTGATAGGCAAGTCCCCTGAGACCACCACACATGGGATAAAGACCCGCTGCCCAATGGAGAATCTTGGGAACTCGAAAGGTTGGATGAAAGGTGGAACTGAGGAGACAGGAAAGAGGGAAGGCACTGGTGAGCTGCGTTCTGTGTGCTCTATTCCTAAGTCCTATCCCATGGCTCTGAGACAACATACTGGACCCATGAATATGTGTGCTCTGGGGGAGTGGAGAGGATGCCTCTATTGCTCAGATTTCCTCAGCGTCCCAGATAGAAGGCATGGCTAATTTGTCATGAAGGAAATAGGATTAGTCTAATTTCATGCAATGCATTTTTAAAGTAGAATTATTTTTGCATGGAAAGACTTTAGACTGTGCCTTCAGGGTGGAAACTATAAGAAGGGTGTGGGTTTGGTTTGTCTTTTACAGTTTTGCACATGATTTGAACAAGAGGAGCCCACTTTATTGCTTTGGTTTGATTAGCACTGTAGTGGAACTATGAGCACAGCTTATAGGTTAGTGCTAAAGCTCCTTTGCATGACTAATAACAGTCATAAGTTACAACTACTTATTTTAGGACACTGGGGTGATTCACACCCCTTCATTTTATACATTCTGTCAGTATGATCAATTTAGGAACGACCCGTGGTAAATGGTCTGAGTTGATGGTGTGTGTTGCTGCGTAGCTTTCAATATGGCCAGCCAGAGACTCAGTTCAACTCAGTCCAAAAGGAGATTTTCATAATTTTACCCATCCACAAACTGCTACACTATTTTTCCCTTAAGGTCTGATGCTGAGGGGAAAGGAGTTCAGGGTGAGGCTCCCGCTTGCGCTATAGACAGGGACAGGTTGTGTTAGGTATAGTGGCTCACACCTGGAATTCACTGCGGAAAATGCTGATGGGTTAAGGGTGCCTGTATTTCTTTCACATCTTGCTCCAGATAGCATAAATATTTACTCTCTGTGCAGAGAGTCCAACAAGAAATGGATTTGTATGTTTTGTTATATAAACAATTACATGACTCAGTATCCCGGTCATCATCATCTCAGGCAAGCACTGACTGCTGTCAGCTTTTTGATTATCATCAGAACAGATCAGTTTTCTAAGGGGAACTTTGGAACAAGGATACATAGTTTTCAAGCCAGCTGTGCTACTCAGCATAAGCATTTAGTCCTTCACCAGGCCTCAGTTTCCCTATTTGTAAAATGAAGAATGTAGCCTTCAGTCCTTAATGAGTTGGCACAGTGGGTTCAAAACTTGAGGCATTTGAATCAGTGCTTTAGAATCTGATTCTAATTCACACAAGCCATTAAGAAGAGAAAGAAAAAAATGCAAAGTTCTCAGGACTAAATCTCCCTATCAATTACAATAGAAAAATAATAAATATTTAATTTCTATCCTCCAAGTCAAAAGAGAAAGGAAAGGCATTGTTGTATGTGTGCATGAAGGCATGTGTGTGCATCAGCCAGAAGACAGCCTATGCTATTGATCCTCAGGAGTCGCTATCTTGTTTTTTGAGACATGGTCTCTCGTTGGCATAGAACATGCCAAGTAGGTTAGGCAGACTGGACAGTGAGCTCCAGGCCTGTCTTCACCTACCCAGCGCTGGGATTACAACAGTGTATCAGCGTGCCTTGTCTATTTCACGTGGGTGCTGGGGATTGAACTCAGGACCTTATGTCTTCAAGCAAGCACTTACTTTACTGACTGAGACATCTCTCCAGCTTTGGGAGGGTGACATCTATGTAATGAAAAAAAAATCATTTAGGGTGTAGACTGTCAGTAAATGCTAAATATAGTAATGCACACTTACAACGGAAGAGGTATAAGATAAGGGAAGGGCAGGAGCACACTGCTTCCCAACAACAGATGTAAGAACTAGGTTCACAGCAGCATTTAAATCAATATAAAACCCCAAACTGAGGCCTGGGAGACGGCTCAGCAGGTAAGAACACTTGCTGCACAGGCATGGGGACATGAGTTCTAATCACCAGCATCCATGTAAAAAGCTGAGCATGGCTATGTGCGGGCTCCTGTCAGCTCAGTGCTGTGGGCGGTGGAGACAGGAGGGTCACGGGGGCTTCCTGCCTGCCAGCCTTGCTCCAGGTACAGTGGGGGCCCCTGTCTCAAGAAATAAGGTGGGTTAGGGCTGGACAGATGGCTCAGTTGTTAAGGGTACTGGCTGCTCTTGCAGAAGACATGGGTTTGATTCCCAGCACCCACATGGCAGCTAACAACCATCTGTAACTCCTGTTCCAGGGAATCCGATGCCCTCTTCTGACCTTCGTGGGCATTGCATGACACGGGTGCACTTACACACATGGAGGCAAATACTTATACACAGAAAATAAAATTAATAAATAAAAATTTGTTTTTTTAAAAAGAAGCCAGGCGTGGTGGCACGTGCCTTTAATCCCAGCACTTGGGAGGCAGAGGCAGGCGGATCTCTGTGAGTTCAAGGCCAGCCTGGTCTACATAGTGAGTTCCAGGCAGCTGGGGCTACCCATCTCAAAAAGACCAAGAAAGAAAAGAAATAAGATGTGGAGTGATAGAGGAGGACACCCAACATCCTTCTCTGACCTCCACATGCACGTAGACTGGTGTACCCCCACACACGAATATATACCACATACACATACAACACACACATTCCCAAACTGAGTGCTTCTGATAGTTCCAAAACACTTACATTTCACTGACACAGGAAATGAGAAGGGATATAATTCCAGTTCTATAGGTAAATGTCAGAAACTGTCTTGAAGCAACAGGGCTAGAAAGAAAGTGTGCATTCAACACACTGAAAAACAAAACCAACACTGTCACACACACAGGCCACTTGGAGGATAAAGCCCCAATTTGAGACATTATTTGAAACTGCCTCTGCACCCTCAATTATCTGCATCTTGGTCTACACTGGATGCTGAGTGCCAAGTCTTCCTGACAAGTGCTAAGTGACGAGGTTGCTATGGGTGAGCTAAAGGAAGGTAAGATGGGAGCAGATCCAAAATTACCATGCGCCTGGCATTGGGGAACTCTGTCTTGGAGCACACTGCCCTGACAGTCAACTTTGCTGTCACTAATGCAAAATCATAGATTATGATCAAGACTTAATTGGAAGTCGTGGTTAATATATTTTAAAAGGAAAGAAGTTATATTTAAATTTTTGAGTATTTGTAGAAAATGAACATGTCCAAAACAGTTAACATTAAAAAATTGCAGGATTAGCCAGGTGTGGTGGCACATTCCTTTAATCCCAGCCTTTGAGAGGCAGAGGCAGGTGGATCTCTGTGAGGCTGAGGCCAGCCTGGTCTATGCAGTAACTTCCAGGTGGGCTGGGACTAGGGAGGCCCTCTAAAAAAATTTGCATGGTTCAAGAAGGACCTAGTTACATAGGAAAGTCCTTCGCCCAGGATCATGTACTGTCAGGTTTGCTATGTGTTTGTTTGCTGGCCATGTTGTACCAGAATGTACATCACCTTAACACAAATTAAATGCGCAGACTAACTGGCCACCCACATCAGTTCAGTGCTGCTGTCTAGTGCTTGAGTTAGAAGTCACATAGCTGCTGTGCAAAACGCTCAGCATTTTACAAAAGGTCCAAAGCCTGGGCCTTGAATTCATGAAATATGAAATTCAAGAAAAAAAACAATAGAACCAGGTAATAAAAATATCCTCCCATGACTTTAGAAAGCCAAAACCACACATCCGGGAATCCAGAGACCTTCACCTCCTAGCACATCCTCCTAAATGAGGAATGTTCCTGAGTGCTGACAGCAAGAGCTTGTGAGACCACAGGGGCTGGGGATCTGAGTCTGACAGGCACCAAGTTTGCACATAACCTTTCTGCAAAAAGTATGTAAATATCTGCTAAATGTCACGTATTACCAGGTTGTGTACTTTAGAACTGCAAGGTCCTTTCTCTGTTGGGGCTGAGAGTCATCTAATATTGCAAATGCCAGTTTCCATTTTTTTAAAACTCTTAATAGGAACATTAAAACAGGGTGATTCATTTCTGTGTTTCGACCCTTAATAATTAATATATTATTTTTAAAGATTTTATTTTTACTTTATGAGTGTTTTGCCTTAATGTATGTATGTGCACCACAGGCATGCAATGCCCATAGAGGCCAGAAGTGGACATTGGATCCCCTGGAACGAGAGTTACAGATGGTTGTTCGCACCATGTGGGTGCTGGGACCGGAACTCCAGACCTTTGCAAGAATAGCAAGTGCTCTTAACTCTCTCCAGCCCTGACTATATTCTTTTTAAAAGAAGTGTGACAGGGGCCGGAGAGACGGCTCAGCAATGAAGAACACTGGCTGTTCTTGCAGAGGACCTGGGTTTGGTTCCCAGTACCCACATGGCTGGTAACAACAGTCTGTAACTTCAGTTTCAGGATGACCTCTTCTGGCCTCCATGGGCATTGCATGTACATGGGGCACATATATACATTAAGGCAAAACACTCATAGATGTAAAGTAAAATTAAATAAAGAATATGACACATCCATAAAAGATCATGGATTTAAAAAAGATCATAGGTTGAGTGCTGGCCAATCTTTAGTAACTAGTAGTTGTATCTCAATCCAGGGTTTAGGGGTGGGCGATGTGGAAGATGGGTGTGCTTACCCAAGAAGACACAAGCAGAGGCCAGAGGTTGACACTGGGGTGCCTTCTTCAGTCGCCTTTCTACATTAATGTTTTTAGTATTAAAATCATTTAATGAACTCCTTTGTGTTCAGTTAGTCAGTTTCTGCTGTTACATTCAATCCCATTTCACCTTTGACTCTGGCCACCATCCCCTTCCTATAGTGGAAGTGAATATTAGACACAGTGTATTTCAGAGTGGATTTTAAAAAGAGACAAGGAACTCACCATTTCAGCTAGAATGACTGGCCAGTGAACTCCTGAGATTCACCTGTCTCCCCCACCCCAAGCACTAGGGTTACAGGTGCATGCAGGCCAAGCCCATCTTTTTATAGTGCTGGGGATTTGAATTCAGGTCCTAGTACTGGTGTAGCACTATACCTAGCCCCTCAATTTAAGTTTTTAAACTTTGCAATTCTATATTAGACTTTTAAAATGAAGCACGGTTCATGAGTGGT